AGGATAGTGCAAAATCTCCATCCCCTCCACACTCCTGGGGAAAGGATAGTGCAAAATCTCCATCCCCTCCACACTCCTGGGGAAAGGATACTGCAAAATCTCCATTCCCTCCCCACTCCTGGGGAAAGGATACTGCAAAATCTCCATTCCCTCCCCACTCCTGGGGAAAGGATACTGCAAAATCTCCATTCCCTCCCCACTCCTGGGGGAAGGATACTGCAAAATCTCCATTCCCTCCCCACTCCTGGGGAAAAGGGGTCCAACCGGGGGGGGGGTGTGCGCAGGTAGGCTCTAGGAGGAAGGGGGGTTGAAACCAGACTGGCGTGATCGGAGGGGGTCGGGGAGAGGTGAGCCGACAGCCACGCAGAAAGCTCGTCTGATCCCTACAAACGCGCCGCCCGCGATCCTTTCGGGGTTGTCTGAAGAGGTCGCCAGCTGAGAACCCCCCCCCCCAATCCGTCCCTATTCCCGAGTCGCTCCCCTCCCACATAGACACAGTCTGTTGACACTTAGGCAGGCGCTCTGTAAACATTGCATTGGTTTAACGCATTTTAAGCACACGCGCCCCCACGCGCAATTTCCATTCTTCTCTGTCTCTGTGTGTCTCCCTCTCCCCCCTCTCTCTCCACCCCTCTACTCTCTCTCTCTCTCTCTCCACCCCTCTACTCTCTCTCTCTCTCTCTCTCCTTTCTCTCTCCCCTCTCCCCTTCTCTCCTCTGTCTCTCTCGGCGCTTTCTTCTTCCGACCCTGGATGCCCTCCAGGCAATCTGTACTACAATTCCCATCCTCCCCCACTTCTTTCTACCGACGCCTACTTCTCCTCTTCTCCCGGAATGCAACCCGTCCTAATTCCTGCCGCTTCTGGAGGATCGCGACGCCCATCCCCTCCCCTGCCCCTCAGGGCTGCGCTGGAAGGGATGGGTGTTATAGTCCGAGAGGGCTGGGCACCAAGAAGGCGGAAGGCCGAGCTCATTGGCTTCCAACAGAGCGAAAACAACTGGCAGTAATTTATAAGCCCCTATCCAACCCCCACCCCACCCCCACATACTCACAACGGAGGGTTCGAGAGAGGAACGCGGGGAGGATGCGGGCATTCCTTCGGCATCGCTCGCACTGAGCCAGGGGAAGGAGCGCGGCGCGTGTGTGTTTGTGCAACTGGGGTGGGGGGAGTGGGGGGGGGGAGGAAGAGACGAAACGGGGCTGCTTGAAACCCAACACAGACGCTTCTCACATCTTGATAGACCGCCCTCCTCGGAGGGGAGAGCGACGTAGGCACCAACGCGCGTGGAAGCCGAGCAGAAGGGAAAGGCTGCCCATCGGGGAAGCTGGGCGGGCGGGGAGGCACACGCGTGTGCCGGGGAAGCCGGGAACAGCTCGCCCCGCCCCACGCGCCCTTTCACCTTTTACAATCCTCGCCGAGACGCACGTGCCTTCACTCTCCTCCTCCTCCTCCTCCTCCTCCTCCTCCTCCTCGCTAGCCAAAGAAAGGGAGTCGGGCGAAGTCTCGCCGGGAGAAGTCGCTAAAGGCGTCCCAAGCTGAAATCTGGGCCAGGGGAGGGGTCAGGAAAGAGAAAGGGAGGAGCGTTTCTTAAACCCCCCCTTCCTCCTCCTCCTTTTCCCTCCTCCCTTTCGTTGGAGCGAGGCAAGACCTCTCTGCGAAGCCCCCTAGAGGCGTCCCTCCCTCCCTCCCTTCCTCCCCAAACACACTCTCGCCTGTCTGCTTCTCCAAGGCCCCCACCCCGCGGCTGCTACTCCAGCCGCCACTCCCCCTCCCCTCCTCCTCCGATCCTGGTGACAGATCCGCTGGGCCCGGAGCACTTGGGGATGGAGTTTTGGCGTTTCCGACACCTTTTTTTTTTAATAACTCGGGCTCCCCGTCCGTCCCCAACCCCCCCCCCCTCCGATCGACCTGTCAGAACCACGCCTCTGGAGCCAGCCAATTGGTCCGCAAGCGTCAAAGGGCCAATCCAGGCGCCCACCGCCCCATCTCGGCAGCCCAGCGAAAGCCACCAAACAACCGGGCGGAGAGAAGCGGCCGGGCTTAGAGGGAGAGAGAGACTCACACCCGGGCGCACGCACGCCCTGCCACACCGGCCCACATTCGCTCGCTCTCTCTCTCACACACACACACACTCGCCATCACCACCAGCAGAGCGCGCACTCGCTTGCTTTCCCTCCCTCCCCGCCGCCCCCCATCCATCCACACTCGCGGGCGCGCGCGCGCACCTTCCTTCCTTCCCTCCCTCCCTCCCGGCGCGGGACTTGGGGAGCCGAGCGCGGCGGCGCTTCCTCTGGCTGGCTGCTTCGCAGAAAGCCGAGGAAGGGAAGAGGCGGGGTGGGTGGCGGGGGAGGGGAGGGAAGCGCCCGACTTAGCACAAACTCGTTCCGGCTTCCTCGACTGCGCAGCGCACAGCCGAGCCGTCAATTTATTCGCGGAGGCTTGCCCTGCCTCTCGAGTTCTTTCCTCGCGGGATCGGCGGGGGGGAGAGGAGGAGGAGGGCGGGGGTCTCACACATACCAGGGGAGGCCAAGCGGAGGAGGTTGGGGAGGAGGAGGAGGAGGAGGGAGAAGGAGAGGCGAGCCAGCCGGCTGGAAGGAGGAGAGCGCCGGAGACGGAGAAGGAAAAGCTGCGGGGCTCCGGGCGAGACAGCTGCGCGGGGGCTGGAGGAGGAGGAGGAGAGGAGGAGGAGGAGGCGCCAGCCTTTGGCACCTTTTGGAGGGTCTTCCTTTTGGAGAGAGTTTTCCGCCCCGCCGGCTCTTCTGCTTCCTCGCCTCGTCCGGGCGCTTCGATGAGAAGCCGCTCCGATCGATGCTGTTGCGGCGGCTGCTCCAGTTCTCCGCGCCGGCAGCTGGGAGATAATGGCCAGGAGTTGAAGAAGGACTAAGAAGCGGGAGGCGGGGAGAGAAAGGAAGGAAAGGGAGAAAAGGGAAGAGGAGGAGGAGGGGGAGAGTGGAGACCAGCGGCCCCAGACCTCGCGCGACCTCTGCGGCGGCAGGGACTAGCCAGAAGCTTCCCCGGGCCCCGTCCACCTCACCCCATCTGCGTCCCTCCTGCTTCCCCCCCCCCACCTCTACGTGGGCTTCGCCCCGTCCAAACTTTCCCTCTTGTTCCCTTTCGCCAATATAGCGGCGGCGGCGCAAAGCGATCCTTTGCAATCCTTGCAAGGATAAAAAGCCCAGATTTTATTTCTCATTAGCAGGAGGCGCGTCAGTCGCCAAGCCCGACAGATAGATAGGACAGACCCACGCAGGATATTCAAGGCACTCGGGCGCGCGCACCCTTCTTCCAGCAAGGGCGACGAAGCGCCGGAGCGCAGTTTTCCCCTGGGTCGGCGCGGGGTGGGTGGGCGGCCATGGCCTCTAGCTTGGCGCCGGCTGCCGGGATCCCGCGGTGAGACTCGCTTATGGTCGCTTGTGACGAGCGGCCAGCCCTGCCTTCGCCTCTTTGGGCCACGGTCCCCACGCGCTTTCCCCGGGGCCAGGTCCCTTCTGCCCGGCGGAGGGAATCGGGGCAGGGTCTAAGAGGGGCGAAGCTGTGAAGCCCCGGTGCAGGAGAGAAGGGAGAAGGAGGAGGAGGAGAAGAAGAAGAAGAAGAAGCGACGCCGGCGGACTGACTTGGATGAGTTTCTCCATGAGAGAACCCGTGATTCCTGGGACCAGTATGGCTTACCACCCCTTCCTACCTCACCGGGCGCCGGACTTCCCCATGAGCGCCGTTTTGGGACACCAGCCTCACTTCTTCCCGGCTCTGGCCTTGCCACCCAACGGAGCGGCCGCTCTTTCCCTGCCCGGAGCTTTGACCAAACCGATTATGGATCAACTGATCGGGGCGGCGGATTCCGGCCTCCCTTTTTCCACTTTGGGACACCAAGCCGCGGCTCACTTGCGGCCTTTGAAAACGCTGGAGCCGGAGGAAGAGGTGGAGGACGACCCCAAAGTCCACCTGGAAGCCAAGGAGCTGTGGGAGCAGTTTCACAAACGGGGCACCGAGATGGTAATCACCAAATCGGGAAGGTAAGCAGGCGGCGGAGGCTGCCCTCTTTTCCAGCCGATTCTCCAAAGAGAAACCTCGGCTGTTGTCTCGCGGGGGGAGGGAAAAGGCCGCTTTCTGAAGGACGAAGTGAGCCTCGTCCTTGTGTAAAAGCCTCAATGCACGCCAAAAGACCCCCCCCCCCAAATCCTCACCCACGAACCCGCAAACTTGCCCTCCTCCTTGGTAGAAGGAGAGAGATCTGGCTGCCTTCGGCGTCTTCTCCCCGGGATCTTACTTTCCTTCCGAGTTTTTCAAACTTTACAACTGGATCCCTTCCCAGCAGAAGCTACTTCCACCAAAAAAAAAGAGAGAGAGAGCTTGTTTCCTTCCAAGAAAAATTGGAGAAGGAAAAGCGAGGATGAACTCATGAACTCAGGCCCAAACAAAAATTGCCTACAGCTCTTTTCCGGTCATAAAATATACTTTTGAAAAAAGAAATCACTTGGTGCTGGGTGCTTCCAAACGCAAAGCCTCTACTTTCCAGAAAAAAAAGGAAGGAAAGGATCAGAAAAGGGAAACAGGAAAAAAAAAGAGAGATTTTTTTTTCCCCCACCAATAAAGTTAGCTATGATCTGGAAGGCTGTTCCTTTTCGGGGTTGAATCCCAGTTTTTAAATCAGGTATAAGAGGCTTCCCGGCTCACCTAGGCCTCACTGTTAAATTCTGGCACATTTGGAAAAAAATATATGGAAGAAGGGATTCAAATTTTGGAGGGAATGATCCGTGTTTTTCCCGCCAGTAATCACCCCTCTTCCTCGCTTAAAACTTCCTAAACTGCGGTGGTTGTTTAAAGTAACAACAATCTGTTGTTTAAACAACTGTGGCGGTTTTTTAATGCAAAGGAGGACTTTCCAGTTTAATGTGCACCTTAAGAATTAGGAAAAAAAGCCACGCGTCCTTGAATTATTTCCTTCAAATGCTGGGACGAAATATAATAGTTGGGAATTATTATTTATTATTGGGATTTATTAAGAGCCATTCAAAATGGTCTGAAATCAAGGAAGAATTGGCGAAAATAAAACAGTATTAAAAAACGGGGTGAAGTTTGCAGTTATTGGTGTGTGTCTGTCTCTGTGTGTATGTGTGTGTGTGTTGGAGGAAATTGTTGTTTCTCAAAAGGGAACCCAACAAGATCCCCCCCCCCCTTGCAGAGATTTGTATTGAGGGTTTTTCGGGCCCGCGGTTAGCGGTTAAGTCTTAACCAGCAAAAAATTTGCACCAACCAGCAAAAAAACAACTCTTTGCAGGTTTGGAAATGATATTTGGAAATCATGGGGGGGGGGGGAAGTGTGGAGATCATGAAAGCCGAGGGTAAGACAACCCCCTATTTGTGAGATATCGATATTATAAATTGATAATGTTACTATAACACCTGTTTTCTATAAGCTTGAATGCTCAGCCTTTAAGGAACAGGATTCCCTGTAAAATACGTGTGCCCTCTTAAACAGATCTTGACTGTTGAATTTTCAAAAGATTCTGGGAAGGAAGGAAGGAAGGAGGGAAGGAAGGAAGAGAAGGAAGGGGGCAAAACAAAATAAAACAATGTAATAATAACATAACATTCACTTTCTTTGTCTCTAGGAGAATGTTCCCACCTTTTAAAGTGAGGTGTACGGGTTTGGATAAAAAGGCGAAATACATTTTATTGATGGACATTGTAGCTGCAGATGACTGTCGATATAAATTCCATAATTCGCGGTGGATGGTGGCTGGGAAAGCCGATCCCGAAATGCCGAAAAGAATGTATATCCATCCGGATAGCCCAGCCACGGGTGAACAGTGGATGTCAAAAGTGGTCACCTTCCACAAGCTGAAACTGACCAATAACATCTCGGACAAACACGGATTTGTAAGTGCTTTCGGATTTGTAAGTGCTTTTAATTTTGCTTCACTGAGCTTTCCCTGAACTCCTCATCTCCCCCCTTGACCTAACGCTGGTCTTCATGTAGATGACGGTGATGATTTATTAAACATGAAACTCAGTCAACTGAACATTTTAAAAAACATATCACAAATATCACTGATTGGCGCTGAGGGTTGATCCAGTTGCTGCCAGCCTCCTAGGGATCAATCAAGTATCTTCTTAAAATGTACGATGATGATTTCTTTTATTCATTAGACATGGAAGTCAACTGAACATTTTAAAATGTGTCACTAATACCAGCGACTGGTGCTAATGGTTGATATGGTTTGCTTCCAGCGTCCTAGGTATCAACCAAGTGCCTTCTTAAAATGTACGATGTTCTGAGCATTGCAGGAAGCTTTACTTTCTCGATGTATTTTTAAAAATACAAAATACATGTAGATTATTATTATTATTACTACTACTACTACTACTACTACTACTACTACTACTACTACTACCACCACCACCACCACACTGGTGGTAGTACTAGTAGTGTAGCAGTAATAATAATATAAACGTTTTACTCTTAGTAGTAGTACTATTAGCTATTTGCAAAATAGGGCGACTAGAAATTCAGATTTATTTGGGAAAGTTTACTTCCTTATTAGAACAAACACAGATTTGTAAGTGCTTTTAATTCGCTTAGTGAGTGTTCCCTGAACTCCTAATCTTCCCCCTTGACATGGCGCTGGACTTCACCTAGATGATGATGATTATTATATACTGTATTCATTAAACGTGAAACTCAGCCAACTGAACATTCACAAATGTTTCACAAATACCAGTGTCTGGTGCTAATGGTTGATCCGGATTGTGGCCAGCGTCCTAGGTATCAACCAAATACCTTCTTAAGATGTAAGATTTGCCTAGTAGCGCAGTTTTTTGCAGTTCTGCTGGTGTTATTGCAGGAAGCTGCAATACTACTACTAGTAGAAGTAGTAGTATTAGCTATTTGCAAAATAGGGTGACTAGAAATTCAGGCCTGTTTTAAGAAAATGGGGTAAACACTTCTTTATTAGAAAGCGTTGGAAATCTTTCTCACACTTGAAATGGGCTACTGTCAATTGTGGATTCCAGATTTTGTTTTTTTGCAATAAATTCCGGGTTTTTAAAGGAAGTTGGGGGAGGGAGGGTCAAGCCTATCTTTTTGCCTTAGGATGACCTGTTAGAATATCGCGTTTGGTTTTCTTAGGGAGAGAAGAATAAAACTATGAGGGTAGGACAAGGAGAATGAGAATCAAATCGGCTGAATGAAAATCAAATCGCCGTGCGAAGAATCTCCGAAGCGAAACTACCCCAAATTGTAGAAGCTGGCATTTGTATATTGGGAAGAACTGAATCCTATTTAAAGTGGGGTGGGGGAAAGGAAAGGAGAAAGGAAAGGAAAGGAAAGGAAAGGAAAGGAAAGGAAAGGAAAGGAAAGGAAAGGAAAGGAAAGGAAAGGAAAGGAAAGGAAAGGAGGGGAAAAACCTCTATTGACTATGATATGAAAAGAATGTATTTCACGGTTAGACTTTATTTTTCAAATAGTCCATTCATATCACCCTTCCCCCAAATATAATAGTTTCAATATAAAATGAGGTGGCATGTAATGTTTTCCCTTTAAAACCAATTAATAGACTAGTCTTCTATTTATTTATTGTGAATATCTATTTATCTATCTATCTATCTATCTATCTATCTATCTATATCTATCTATCTATCTATCTATCTATATCTATCTATCTATCTAACTAACTATCTATCATGTCTGTCTCTCTGTGTGTGTGTCTGTGTGTGTGTCTGTCTCTGTGTGTGTCTCCCGCCCTCCCTCCCTCTCTGTCTCTTTCTCTCTCTCATCTTACATATATCCATGCATAGAGACACACATATATCCCTGCTCTGTCTCTCCACAGTTGGGATCCTTTCCCTTATTTTAGGCGCCTTGGAACGGGATCTCTACAAATTGGGGTAGGGGACGGAGGAAGAGGGCCTTTGGCTGGAAGTAAAATTCTTCATAAAACCATCCAAATATGATGCTCCCACGAAAGATCAGGGAAGCTACACAGGCAGGGTAGAAATTAGGGGGGGGGAGTTGAGTGGCCCTGTTTAGACAGAATGTGTGCACAGGCTCCCTTTCCCCCCTCAATTAAATCTTATTCTCCCAACTCCGTTTCTTTTCTTATTTTTTTTTCTCTCTCTCTCCCTCTCCCTTAGACCATCTTAAACTCTATGCACAAATACCAGCCTCGGTTTCACATCGTCCGAGCCAACGATATCCTGAAGCTACCTTACAGTACATTCCGCACTTACGTTTTTCCGGAAACGGAGTTCATTGCTGTCACAGCCTATCAGAATGATAAGGTAAGGGGATTTAGATTGGAAAGGGAGTGAGTGGAGGGGGAGGAGGTTTTGTGTGTGTGTGTGTCCACCGGCATGAGCTTCAGATAAGGCTTCCGATTTGATCAGGAAGGGCTGGGAGATCTTCCCAATGCAGGTATCAGAATCTGCCCTTCTTTTCTCCTCCCCCCCCTCCTCCCTTCTTCTTTTCCTTCACCCGCTTCAAAGAATTAAATACCCTGCTGCAACCAGGGGGGGCCCTTGGGTCAAGCTGATTAAAGAGGAGCGGGTATTATTATGGGGAAGGGTGTTAATTGAATTTACTGCTTCTCTGCCTGCCTTGGATTGGGGAGAAACTCAGCCTAAGGCTTCCACTCCCTCCTTAGGAGGAATCTTGGCCACAGAGCCAAAAGGAAGTTTTGGATTCCCATTAATCTCTCTCTCCTCTTCCTCTTCTTTTGTTGTTTTGCTGTGGGTATAGGTCTGTGGGGTTAGGGGGGTATTTGGATGACGGAAGAAGCTGACCTCACTGAGAATATTTAGGGACAATCTTTGGAAATGTGGGAGGTGGGACAATAGGTGGGTGGGTGGCTTGGCTAGTTAGCTACTGAGATCCCTTCCTCCCCCCCCCCCATTATGTGTGCGAGGGAGGTGGAACTGAAGAGCTTGAGGTAGCCCGAAAGGCATGGGAAAGAATTCAATGGCTGGCGCCAGACCTTGATGTTGTTATTTGTCTGTTGGGTTTCTTTCTAGCGGTGGGCTAGTGACTTGTGGTGGGGCTTTTGTGAAGTTTTAGCAGGCTTGCAAGGAGGGAAGCTGGTTCCGGAGTGGAGGGAGAGAGGAAAAGAGAGAGAACAGAGGGATAGATGGATGGATGGAAGGGATGAAGGGAGGGGGAAGGGATAGAGAGGGGAAAGGAGGGAGGGAGGAAGGAAGGAAAAAAGAGGGATGGAAGGAAGGAAGGCGAGGGAGAGAGGAAGGAAGGAAAGAGAGAGATCAGAGGGATGGAAGGATGGAAAGAAGGAAGGGAGGAAGGAAGGATTGTTTGATTGCTTTCACGGCCTTGTGGTATGTACAGAGCTGCCTTCTGGATTAAACTGGCAGCAGGTTTGCAAAGAAATTGTGCAGGAGACTGAAAAGAGGCAGTTGTGAAGTCTGAGGTTTGTCAGACTTTTGGGTGAAAGCAGAGCCAGGTGTGAGCCAGCGGCCAAAAAAGCAAAGTCCCTAAGGAAGAGAGTTGTTCCAAGCCCTCTTAGAAGATAGTGGAGGAAGAAAGGGACCCAGTACCTCCTCCAAGATAGGATTCACACCTTGGTCTCTAGTTGCTTGTCGAACTCCACTTTTACAGAAGAGTGGAATTAAACAGGACTTCACCTGTCTGCAGGTGCAGGGACTTACCTAAAGCCTCGTCTTCTCCAGTCGACCACTGACCAAACCACCTTTTTTCCTGCTCTTTGGCCAAGCCAAAAGTCTGAATTGTCGCAGGTTCTGAGAAGTCCATTCCGATGAACTTGTCACTCTTTCTAGAGGAGAGAAGCTTCTTGAAAGCAGAGTAGAAAAACGACCTCCTCCTCCTCTTTCACAACTTAAAAATCAGGGCTCCCACTTCCTTTGCTCCTTGGCCAAGAAATTCAGCCCCCCCCCCCGAAACTTCAGGAGGGGTCAGTTTGGAAGATATGGATATTCAGAAGGTGGGGAAAGTCCTGTGTTCTTGGTTCATAATACTAGATAGAAAGAAAGAAAGAAATTTGCGTAGGAATTTATTCAAATCCAAACTCTATTAAGCCAATAGCAATATAGCAATAGCAGTTAGACTTATATACCGCTTCATAGGGCTTTCAGCCCTCTCTAAGCGGTTTACAGAGAGTCAGCATATTGCCCCCAACAATCTGGGTCCTCATTTTACCCACCTCCTCCTCCTCTTTCCCCTTCTCCCTTCTCCCTTCTCC